GGGGGGTTGGTGGTCTTTGGCTGTTTTCTGATTAGCACAGCTCTAAAAAACGGGGGTAATTCAACCAGGCCGGCTATGTTGTCTATATGCAATCGGAAAATAGCACATAGACCGTTTGACCAATACTTACGTTTAGGAGTTGATTTTTTACCCAGTGTTGACGTTCCATTTCAAAGAAGCCACGTGACAAGCCTCACTGGGTCAGTCTACTGAGGAAGACTGGTCGAAAGCTCTAGGTGAGAGAATTTTTTTGTGTTGGATCTTAAGTTTTAACTCTAAACATGAGAACTATTCTACCTCACACGCCAAAATTGTTTAGAGGAAGTTGACATATGTGAAGTGCTAAGGACCTTCACACCTCTCCCACACACAGTCTTGAGTGCTCTAGAAAAAAGTCTCCGTTACGAAATGTAAAAAAAAAAAAAATTAGTCGAGCCTAAAATTGCAGCCACTCTCGGAGAGACATGCACGGGCGGTGACGAATCGATTCCTATTATACTCCCTGTTAGTTCAGGGTTTCGGCGTTTAACACTGCTGACCCCAGTCAGTCAAACCTCTGCACACAATGGCACGGGAGGGACCGAGAAATGAAGGTTCATCATGCCATCTTCTCTCTACGTCATCCGTGAAGATCGGACAATGGAAGATGAATCGCCGTCACTTTCACTTTAGGACACTCAAGGCTGACACGGAATTTAGTTCTGCAATTTGGGAATATCCAACATTCAGAGGGATGTCGAGTAAAGAACTGTAATACTACGTGGGTGGATCCGAAATTTTGAAAGACCGTCTGGTAGATAGACTGTCAGATAAACGGATTACTGGTATTAGGTTTAAGGCAACAACATGCTGTTCAACATGCTCTTAAACATCCATTTGGGAATTATACCTCTGGTAGTGAGCCGTAAGTTGTGGTTTTTATTCGTGTTCACACTGTTAGTAGCGAAATGAAGCTCCTAATAACGTTAGTAGCGAAAGTAGTTATTTGGGAGACAGCTTAAATAGATTAATTAGATGCACAGAATACGACCACTGACCTCACTTGACCCAGAGGTCATCTCTTGTAAATTGTCATCACAAGTAGCGGGCAGTAACTTTCTGATAGTACTATAGCGTTGAGAGTGAGTGCAGATAATTTGAAGCTTTTTATAATATCTTCATACTGGACCTTTCTACCATTGTTGTACCAGTAATTTGGCGAGGAATGTAAAAATGTCTTTTGCAAAATGTAGACCAATTTCGCTAAATTACTGAAAGTTTTTCAAAGCTTCTAATAATATATTCGCACGGGACCTCTCTACCACCAATTTGTCTGGGAATGTAAAAAATGTGTTTTGCTGAAATGTAGACCAATTTTGCTAAATGACTTTCTACATGCAGTAATCACTATTATCAATCTAAAAGGGTTCACGGGTGTTAGGTATGAATGTATGTATTGGTGGTTAATATATAGCATTTCAATTATATCTCTTGTATGAATGTTTTTTTTTTCATCAATTGAATACATCATACTTCTCCCACTCTTAAAATGTTAAAAACTATTCTTGGATGATTTTGACTAATTTGACCATCATTAGTACGATTTAGATGCTCGATGACAAGCATGAAGTAATAATAAATCATTACTAATAGCTATTAAAGTGCTCGTGTCACCAAAATATGACCTTAGCTGATTGTAATTGACATAACCAGTATTACCTGGCTAACAGACACATTTACAATAAATATGCACGGTTCTCCTGTTACATTCGAAATTCTAATGCCTCACCTTGGACAAGTTAGCACAAGCCAGTACTGGCAGGCGATTTGCATCTCTACATTTTATTTTTGCATGTCTGTATTTTTTCCTGAGCTGATGTCACCCAGTGATGTCAGCTCAGGAAAAACCACAGAAATGCAAAAATAAAACATAGAGATGCAAATAGAGATGCCCGAGGCGGGCACTTGGGAAGCTTTCTAGAGAGTCTCCAAGAATTCACTTTTAGAAGGCCATACAAACTCGATTTCTCAGTCATCATGATTGGAACAAACTTCCATAATGATAGCATTTACTTCAATAGGCATGAAATACGCAGACACTCCCAGATCGTGCACATAGAGTGGTTTTAATGAAAGAGTGAAATATTCCTGACGTAGCTATAACAGATTGTGCGGCAATGGTTACAAGTATGAGACTTTACCTTAACGTTTGTTCTAAAATTCGTCTGAGGCGTATGAAGTACGTATTTGCTTCTCATTACATATTAAACAGTTGATACTAAGGTGATATAAAGAGCTGCTATATAGAGCGACAGCGGTGCATATAGTGAGAATTGAGCACAAGCTACATGTAAATGACAATAGAAGCGCATCTGCATTGGTAACTGTAGAAGTCAAGAGATAAGGAGGTGTCTGAAGTATAGGGAAAGGTTTCAAGTTTATTTATTTTACCAGGGCATACCTCAGATCCGTTGATCTGATTTTCAGGTATCCCTGGGCACATATCAAACGCATTTCGCTGTTCAGTGGAAAGTTATGCTCTTTTACAATAAACATTCAGTGTCGAAAAGTGTTGTTTGAAATACTGTGTACATGACTATGGATAAGCAACAAGCAATGATCACAGAAAACATGAATTAACAAATCCAAGACGACCAATAATCTGTATGTCTGGCACGTAAAGCTGCTGTATTTATCGCAGAGATGTTGTTTTTTCTAACTTATAAATAAATTCTGGTCGTGCGTAAATCATTGGAAGGATGTCCACAGGCGATGAGCATGTTGTCTGGAAAGGAGTCCTGGGGTCGTCTGACGAAATGTGCCTTCATAGAACCGTCCCTCCTCTTGGGTACATTAGTATTCCTGAAAAGTAGAAAAGGACGTATTAAAGAAGGATACTCGGAATCAAGAGGTCCCAGGTTCGAGTCCTGACATGCCACCGATCTTGTAACCTTCGGAAAGGCACTTTACACAACTTTCCTCACTAGACTCAAGTGAAAATGAGTATTGTTTTTCCAGTATTTTTTTTCTATGTGCGAGACACAACACTAGCAACAGCTGCCTCTGTTCCGCGTGTATTGCACTGTTTCCATTTCAATAAATCAAATCGTATAGACAAAGATTCATTAGATTTCCTACACTCTTTGACACGGGATGGTGTCTTTTGTAGCACTTTCTTTTCCCTCTCTCTTCTTTATCACACCACATTGTCTGACATATCTTTCCGTAACAGGTGGGCGGTTATGTCTAATCTCCCTCTGCAAGAAAACGCTTTGACAGTGACGGATGGTGTACGACCAAGACATTCTTTATAAGATGGCAGCGACAACTGCAAGCGTTTCCCGCCTCAGGGAGGGCGTGCATGGGGTTACTCCGCTTCTCATATTGACGAATTCTCACTTGCCCGTGGCGGTACCTTTGCACGACCTCGTAAGCCACATAGAGCCCTGGGTTCCCAGAAGAAGGCACACGGCCCTCAAGTTGGTTGACGTCTGAACTCTAAAAACAATTTATCTTCGAGAACACCCATCCGTTTATGTCGGGCAGGTTTGAGGTGAGAAAATAAGACGCATCATTTGCGTCGGACAGGTTCAAAGATAGCAGCGCTTGACGCAACGCAGTCTTTGTTATGCCGAATTACAAAGGCGAGGTGATAAGATGATGGGAATGATATGTGGCAACGTCTTCAAAAACAACTGTCAATTAAAGTCGTTTGATGGTTCTTTGTAGTCTATTGCAGCAAACTATGGTGACTTAGTGGTAGTTTGTATCGCCGATATAACCACTCTTAGGCTAAACAAACCAGCATAACAAATTATTAAAATCTAGCTCACATGACAATTATATATTGATTTTAGCATGTAACTTAACTTACTAGGATAAAGGATGTTATAATATCTGCGTCTTTATTGTAGTTGTTGTAGTTTCAATGTGTTGTGTTTCTCCCTCTTTTTGTGTGTTCGTGTGTGCATTTGCGTGTGTGTATTTGAGTGCGTGTTTGTGTGTTCGTTCGTGTGTTTGTGTGTGCATGTGTTTGTGTATGACCATGTCACCAGATGCTAGTCATCTGTAGACTTTAGAAGAGGCCTTGTTATGATATTCAAAGCAATGGTTAAAATACAATGTAGGATGTCAGTGAATGTTTCTAAAGGAAGACTTTTTGAAAACTGATATGCTAGTTTTCTACTTGCATTTGTCGTTTGAAATATATGAACTTCAATCAAGAAACATCCCAACTCAGATCGATTTGAAAATTGAATTCATGTCTTTTCTTGTTGTTTACGTGATTGATAAGGGAAAATTACTCGTGTTACATCAAACTATATATAAAGTTGTTTTCCTTCAAGCAGTTTAGCTCTGTACGTCTCTGAACGTTTTAATCAATACTGATTGTTTTTCTCCTTTATATGGTGTGTGCAGGTGAGTTCAATAAACACCACTTGCATGGAACTGACATGACAAAGAGCTTGCGTCTGCGTCAGTAGATGGGTTAAGTGGCAGATGGCAGTACATTTCTTTTTTATGGAGAGAAGTGTTTACCACATCCATTAATGCTCGGTGAATCTATTAGCTTTCAACCGTAGCTGTTTCTTGTTGTCTTCTTGTTTGTGAGTGGGTGTTTTGGCATTCATGACTTAACGCGACAAACAACATGAGAATTTGACGCATTGCCATAAGCAGGCGTACTTAGCCCACGCAAGCTACAGCACGGAGTTTCACTGAAAGAAGATGTAAAGACAACAGTGAGGTTTTGAATGCTTGTTTTTGATTTTAAATTTCGAGGGGGCGAGGCAAGAGTCGAATGCAGAAAAACAACAACATGAGAACGTGGCACATTCGCGTGCAGTGAACAGGTTGATTGACGTGCAAAACCCACGCACACTGCGGGGTTCCAATGAAGAAAGACGTTTTGAATATGGCAATTAAATGTTGGCGACACTAAACATTAGTCTATGAATGCTTGTTGTTTTCTGAGTTGTGAAGGAGTTCGTCAAGCACGACTGGAAAACAGAAATAAACTTTAAGGTAGAACTTGACATATTCGTGGTTTTTGAGAGCATTGGATGTTTCTGTCTTCATGTTTACGTGTATCTTTCTGTGTGTTTTATGTGCCTGTGTGTGTGTGTGTGTGTGTGTGTGTGTGTGTCTGTGTGTGTGTGTGTGTGCCTGTGTCTGTGTGTTTATATATGTGCGTGTGTGCGTGTGTGTGTGTGTGTGCCTGTGTGTGTGTGTGCCTGTGTCTGTGTGTTTATGTGTTTATATGTCTGTGTATGTGTTTCTGTCTCTCTCTTTGTTTCTCCATTTCTGCCCCCCTCTCTCTTTGTATATGTGTCCGTCTCTCCGTGTGTTCTCTGTACCCACCACACATTTGCCGACGGGAAAGCCGTCCATGTCACACATGGTCCTGGCGGGGCATCTGCAGACCATCCTGGGGATCCGGCCTCTCCACTTCCCGTAGCTGGTCTGGCAAACCTTGTCAACTTTTAGGTCGCACTGCAGGGACGACAGAAACAATCATGGGTTAAAATCAGAAACAAGACACACAACAATAACAGACCGCCCTCTGCACTTCTCGTAGCTGGTTTGGGAAACCATGTCCACTTTTAGGTCGCACTGAATGGACAGAAACTAGCTATATAGATAAACCACGACAATAACAGATCGCCCTCTCCAATTTCCATAGCCGGTCTGGCAAACCTTGTCCACTTTTAGATCGCACTGCAGGGACGTCAGAAAAATTCATGGATTAAAATGAAAAACAAGTTACCGGTACACCTCACCTGGTGTTATCATTAGGGCGTGCAAATCTACAACGATAGTGAAAAAAGTAAAAATAGGGCTACACAATGGACCACCTGTCCTCCCTTCATTCCCTTCTATCTCTTGATCTTTTTGCGTCCTTTTGTGTGCGCCCTTGTTAGCTATGTTAAACTTTCGGTCCAGTAATTTTCTCCACAAGTAGCTCTAGACATAGTCTTCTCTTTTGCCGGGATGAATGGGTAGGCGATTGTGAAACGGCGTTATTCAAAAGCAACGGCTGTTTTGGTGCTTTGATTGTCATATTCTTAGTAGCGTTGGTTGTACGAGCTGTCATTACGTTCAGTATGAACAAAGACATTTTATAGTCGCCTACATTGTTCAAAGCTTTGGGGAGCTTTCAAAGCAGAGCTTGGTAACTTCTTACTGTGCCCACTCACTTTCCCATCTTGGGCTAATGTACCATTTACTCCCAGACTTGTGATGATTCTAAATCTCAGATGACACTGAACATCACAGTTAAAAGTCGATGTGTATCTAAAATAGCCCGGTTCTATCCCCTGATGTCCTATTCCATCTGTATGAAGTTATCTTTAAAGATGTGTGGGATGAGAGTGCGGTCTTACATAAGATTTTGGCCGGCCCAGATGCACAATTCTGAAAGATGAATTACACACACGGGTCTATGTGCCATCGACATACTCTTCAAGTTTGCTGAGACAGAAGATTAAAAAAAAAGACTTTGAAGAAGGCTTATTCCTTCTGCATACTTTTTTATTGTCTTTGCAGTATTTTTTGCAGATTCGCGTTTTGCTCTCTTCTACAGCATTTAGTCTTGCTTGCACTGCAAAGAAGTATCCTTGAAATTCAAGATTGTTAAATTTACTTTCCATCTACCTATAGCCACGCCATTGGACTGCAAAAGACATGCCTCAACGTTAATTGGACTTAGTTAGCCAACAGCGTACAACAAAATGCTTCAGCTTTGGGGACCCAAAGCATGGATAGTTACTGTCAAGAGTGACTGCTTGTTAGTCGGAGCTGATGGAACAGGGAATCTTTTCTCCCTCTTCGTGTCTTCTAAAAGTTGATTGAACTTAGCCAACAGTGTACTACAGAAGGCTTCAGCTTTGGGGACTCAAAAGCATGGCTAGTTACTGTCGAGAGTGACTGCTTGTTAGCGGAGGGTGATGGAACATGGAATCGTATCTATCTCTTCGTGTCTTCTTCACTGAACTGTGCTGTACACCGTGATTAGCAAACGACCTGCTGGACCCCACGCGGCTCCAGTTTGTACGATACAGATCTTTCTATTTCGCCTCAAGGACAGACTTCAGTTCGTGTAGACACGCGCACCAGGCGAATCTTTCTATGTGCATCTCCACTAACTATAGTTTCAAAACCAAAACGTTTGTAGGTAATATCAAGACATCAACCACAGGGGATTCAATAGCATATTATGTAATGTCATTTCTTTACACCTTATCTCTTAGTATTTTCAGATTAAGTCAATTTTAGTGTACTTCCACATGTAGTTGGTTTTCTTGTATTCCCCTTTGTGAGCGTGGGTCGGTCGGGTTAATCTCCGTACCGATTGTCAACGCTTCTGTGGACACGAATTGCAAAAAATACCGAGTGTAAGTACAGTACAGAGACGTCTAGACAGCTATCGCGACTATATCTATGTACACAAAGCTTTCTGAGTATAGTTCAGGACTTAAGGCATAATTAAAAGACTTTCCAGCTTCTTACAAGCTTAAAGATGACTCTTAGATGACTTCTAAGATACCTCAGGGTACTTCAATCAACAACTTACGATCTCCTTCAGAACTTGAAGGCTTATCCAAGTCAGTCTAGTACACAATTAGTACTCTCGTATTCCCCGCAAGGCGGTTCAAGTCCTTTGGTGTAATACCCGTATCGGTAATTATCAATACTACAAAGAGCACGAATTTTAGGAACCTGCCAGGCTACCCTGTCCCTGGGGTTCCTAGCGGTACAGCCTGAAACTGAAGAGTGCTTAGTCAATAATCACGACATACCGAGTTTATGGGATACGCCAAAAAGAAGTTACAGAAGCAACTGGATATGATTTTGGAAACGGTCAGACGTTTCAGCTAGTAGAGACCAGAGGGGAAATACAGGTTTATAAGCACAAACTATTGAAACCTACATTTCAAACCTTCATATCAAATCTGCATTTCTCCTCTGGCCTCTCAGTCACTGACGAAAGCTAGTGGATACTAGCTGAAACGTCTGAACGTTTCCAAAATCATATCCAGTTGTTTGAGTAACTGTTTTTTTGGCGTCTTATTTGCCATCTTATTACCTGGATGGCTAACCTTCACCGACGTGTGAAGAGTCTTAGTCGATAGTCACGACGTACTGAGTTTACTACATGACAATAAATCTAGACTTTATTCATCGTTAGTCACGACCAGAAAAATGCTCGGGTTTAATCATGAGGCTTTTATCAGGTTTCTATAGAGGTTTTATTTTACACGTGGCTCTTATATGACTTGTAATATGCCTGAAGTCATTCATAATTTGTCACGACTGAACAAATGTTTGGTTTTAACTCCAATGCCTTTATCATGTTTCTATAGAAGTTTGATGGTACACGTGGCTCTTATATGACTTGTAATATGCCCCAACTCATTCAGAATTTGTCACGACCTGGAAGATGTTCTGTATAAACTATAAGGCTTTTGTAAGGTTTCCATAGAAGTTTAATGCTACACGTGGCTCTTATATGACTTGTAATAAGCCCTACGTCATTCAGAATTTGTCACGACTGAACAGATGCTTAATTACAAGGCTTTTGTCAGGTTTCTATAGAAGTTTGATTTTACACGTGGTTCTGAGATAACATGTCCAGACTTATAACAAGTTACAATCCACTTTAAAGACCTATTGACGAGTGTCTACAGCAATTACTGCTCTTGTATTTCCCTCAAGGACGCCCTTGTCAGTCGCTTTTATCCCCGTATTGGTAATTATCCTTCCTACGAAGAACACGAGTTTTTGGATATCTGCCAGGCCATCCTTGATGTTTTGATGAAATTTAGACATCCAGGTACTAAGATACGCCAAAAAAGTAGTTGCATCATTTTGTCTTCACTTTTCCTTCTTTTTGGACTTTAAAAAATTGCCTTTACTCATTCGTATATTAATCAATAGTTTGTGCTTATAAACCCGCATTTGGTGGATACTAGCTGAAACGTCTGACCGTTTCCAAAATCATATCCAGTTGCTTGGGTAACTGCTTTTTGGCGTATTCTTGATGTTTGCAGTGGCATTTTTGCATTCTCCACAGTGTGGTCCAGGTCCTTTGGTTTTAATTACTTATATATAGGCAATTAAAAACACTACAAAAGGCACAGCTTTTGAACGGCTACTAGCATAAACGTAACACTGGTTCCAAACGTGACTCGCAGATAACATGTCCCAGCTTGTAACAACAATATATAAACGCCCTTCGTTATCAATGAGTCTCTACTAGTACTGCAATTACTGCTTTTGTATGTTCCTCAAGGATCATGTCCTTCGGTTTATTCCCTGTAAAGATAAACTATTCTCATTTCAATTTTGGTTTTTGGATATCTGCCAGTTATACCTGATGTTTATAGCTGCATTTTTGCATTCTCCACAAGGTGGTCCAGGTGGTTTAAAATAATTTGGTTTCATTCCCATAACGTTTGAACGGATACTAGCCGGAAAGTTGACATGGTGCTGCAAACAACTTTAAGTCCTTTAAGAGGTTACAAAAGATCAATGTTACCACATGAATAGAATTGATAGACTTTACTTATTCTAATACTTATACTTGATAATTAGTCAAGACTAAATGAATGCTTGTCTCTAATGAGAATTTTGTTTGTATTTTAGAAGTTTTATATGTGACTATGATATGAAGAATAAAGTACGTAATCACACTCAGCATTACAGCATTAGTCTTCCATATGTATAGCTACATTTATTTTCCTAGCCAGATTTTTAAAATCCATTTAATGTGAAGCTGATCACGAATCAATACTACACATAACATCAATCTCACTATTAACGTCAGTGTTGGACATAAAGTTGTTCGACCTCTGGCCTTTAGGTCTGTATTATTGACTGTTAATGTGCGGCATAAGAACCATTACATATAACAACCAACATGTAGCCACTAACGACCTGGAGGCGTGACTATGATTTATAATTATAACTATATTACTGCATGCCTGGATAAGAGCCAGAAATATTGCAATAACACCCAGCAGCCATCATGGCCATCATCAATGATCATTCTTTTGGTGGTTGGATTGAAGACATCCAGTGTAGCTTTTAGGGCTAAGCGTCCTTCCCAATGTAAGTGAATCAAACCTTACAGTCTTGTACACACCTTAGATACTGTGCATATAGCCTTGTGATGTTTCATTGTATGAGCTGGTAAAGAAAAAGAGAACAAGGGTGGTGTCGTCATGACACCATCAAAATGTCAAAAATCTAATCTATTTTTTTTTATTCGGCAAGGCGTATATTTCGTCAGTTTCTGAGACCTCTTACTCCCTTGCGTGGAATACATTTAATATTTTGTTTAGTGTCAAACTGAAAAGTTGAGCAAACCAATGGTGATAAATTCAAATGAATAGCTGAAAAATATCATACCAAGGACACTCATCTATCAACTTGACATTTTCCCTGCATACGTCAAACGTTCGCTTCCCTTTGACAAACTTGCCTCAAAGTCA